CACCACCACCCTTCCACGTCGCGCCTTTGTCAATATTAGGTTTCCCCGTGATTACGTAATAAAGTAAACGTCGTTTTAACCCCTTTAGTCGGCGCGCTATCGACCGCCGTTCGAATTAGTTCGGTGCAAGTCATGTAAATTAGTCCCGAGTCGTAACTCAGGGGGTGGAAATTGGGGAAAGTGGTGGCAGCAGCGGTGGCGGCGGCGGTAGCGGCAGCGACAGCAACGGCAATGTCGGGGGCCAAGACAGCCTTATTGCCGGTGGTGACGGATTAGAATGCCTGAAATATTACTACTGCCAATCGGATTGTCCTGGCACGATGGCGACGACGGTCACGGTGCGATTAAGTAAGTTTCTTTCTCACTGAATAAAGGTGTCCCCAAGGTAACAGGCTGAACCAAATTGCAGAGACGGTCCCCACATATTCCCAACTGAATTATTCACTCCAGCGAAGCCTCATGATTCACCAAACACTAATTTTGTACGAGCCAACAATGTGTAGCCTATAAATGTTTATTTAATTGGAATTCTGAAGTACTCTCTCTGAAAGTATCTTTATCTGGTTTGGTCCTGTCATTTTAAAATTAAGGAAAGATGAATATTTTACGTGCTGAATAAACAAGCTTGTTCTATAATACTTTTGCTTCATTTATAATAAATCATTCGATTGAATGGAGAGGTTGAGAAATCTTACTTATTCTATAAGTAGATAAGCTAGACTCTTCAGGATGGAAAGAGATATTGTTGTGTGAGGTTTCTGTTTGAATTGGAATATTTGTGCGCTTACTGACTCCACGCGAGCTATCGAAGCTTGTGGTGTTTCTATCTGCAATACTGAGTCTACATAAATATAACCCATGTAACTCAATTTCGTGAAAAATGGGATATATCCCGCTTCTAATGTTTTTCAAATTCAATTTGATCCGCTTTTACGTAGAAAAGAAGGATTTTGTAAAAATATCTAAAAATTAGTTGGATACACAGATCTGAAAATAATTTTATTGGATAAAACGGATCAAAATTATGTAGAACGCTCGAGTGTAAATGAGCAATATTGCAAAAAATTTTAACGTTCTAGCAATCAGCTTGAGCATCCTACATAATTATTTTGATGGTCTAACAAAATTATTTTTAACTCTGTGTACGTATATAGTTAAATTTTTTAATGCTTTAGAAAAACCGTCTCGTTTAAATTTTTTTTCGTATCTGTATTTTTTCATTTCCGTATATCCACAAATATTGAATGTACTGAGAAATTACAGTAAATCTTGAAAAGCGCGATAAGAAATTGCTTTTCCCAAAATAGCAGTAAAATCCTCATTTTATCCCAGACCGCTCGCGCTTTATTCGTCAATAAATTTATGATAAAGCTGAAATTACGAGCGATTGAGGTATATGGAGCGTATGCATGCGGCATAATTCCGTAATCGATCTTGAATTATTGAGTGGAAGTAAAACTGTAGGGCAGAATAATATCGGCGAGGATTTCACCGCGGGCAGCAAGATAGAAATCGGCTTTAATTAATTTCATTATGCGGCTCATCGCCGGATGGCCGGAATCTCTACTGGATGGAAGAGTGGTGGTTTGTGGCAGCGTGATGCAAAAATGCAACACCCCTTTTTAATTAATAAATGTCATTTACGAGGCGGATACCCGTCCGTTACTCCGATTGATGCTATTCAAGACTGACAAGTTTTCGTCCTAACATTCCGCTCTGTGTTCGACGTCACGTCGGAATACGCCGTCCTCGCGAATAATTACCGCGATCCGTAAATGGACGTGCGCAAATTACTTTAAAAGAACGACGAAGATAGATCGTTTCCGTACGAATATTTTCGGTCCATACAACTTGTGACGCTTATCGCCGTTCATATCACGCCGTAAATCAAGGAACTTCCATAATGTATGATCCTATAAATACAATAACCAAAACCTCCGATGGTTGTACGCAGCTAACATTTACCATTACCGATTTGCGCGGCGGCGTTTCCAGTATCCGCAAAACCATCGTTCGCGGTCATTTTGCGCCGTTATCGACAATCGCCTTACTCGCGCCTCTATAAATTCTCAGTCACATCGCGTGCAACGTACAGGTATAGCCGAGGGCAACGCAACGGATCCGCAATTTTCTCCGGGTTCAACGCACTCCGGATGAAAATCTTTATCCAAGCGGCTATGGGAAAATTCAGAGGATGCGCGAATAACAATATACGCCACGCTTTGCATCAAATATACGGATGTTTGAATTAAACTTCACGAGCCAATACTCTTGCTCGTCCAATATCGAAGACAGTAATACTCATTCAATCTGTCGCGAAATAACTATTATTTCTCTTAAATTTAGAAATCGATTTTCGAAATACATTAGCATATTACATTCCCATTCCATTAATATTTTATAAGATTATTATGACTTCAGCAAACTCGGAAAGAACAATTTTGCTGAAGTATCTGAAAATTTAGCTGGCTACAGATCTGAAATTAACTTTATGAGATCATCAAAATAATTACGCAGGACATTCAAGCTAATTGTAATTAGATATCAAAATGTCGTTGCAGCATTGCTCATCATGCTCGAGTTTTTTTACACAATTATTTTGATGGTCTACAAAATTATTTTCAAATCTGTATCTTAAATTTTTAGTTACTTCAACAAAATCGTTCTTTTCGTATATGACAAAAATTTAATAATTAAAATGATGATATTAATTTTAATATCTTTAATAATATTAATTCCAACTCAGCAAACAAACCGATGTTATTTACTGTCAATGTTTTGACGTCAAAGTGACAAGTACAACTTAATTGGTTGCTAAGAATCTTTAATGATATTAATTCTATTATCATTCTAAAACTGTTACACAATGGAGAGAATACTAATTTCAAAACCATTCTATATCGGAAAGTTATAAGTCGATATTTCTATAGTATATATAGGCGTTCTATATACATCTGGCGACAATTTTCTGAACAACTTCAATTCCTCGTACGCGAGCGAAGTGCACGCCGATGATGTATCGCTTTATAACAAAGAGGATTTATCAACGTCAATTTGGCGTGCAGGAAGGTACGCGTCTTGCGGCCAGCGACCCGCTATAACGAAGAAACGAGCAGCGGTCGAGGGCAGTCGAGCGCTTAATTTTACTCGCGCCGTTATCGCGAGGACGTTAGAACAACGAGTGGGGTTAATTAATTGCGGACCTTTTTTAATTTGTCTTGCTAGACGCCAGGATTACCGCGAAATTTTTAAACCGATACATCCAGTCGAGAAGCGGAAGCGGTAAATTGAAGATACTTTGTTGAAATGCGAAAGGGGACTTGGGAAAAATTTATTTAACTCGGAAAAGTCTGCGATGATAAAGAAATGTGATAGATAAAGCGTACTCTAAAAAAGACTCTGAGCTCAGAGTCTAAGAAGAAATTTATTCCATATATATTATGTCGATTAGTTTATTCGTTTTCATACATTTTTGTACACAAACTTACAAAGCGACTTAGGAAGAGTTTACGTACAAAAAAAAATCTGCGAAGCCTCATTGCGAAGTCACCTTGAGAAACACTTGAATCATCTTGAAAAAGAGCGCGCAAGATGGGACGCAAGATTAATTGTCCCCGCTCTAAATTAAGTTATTCACTTTGTTATGGTACCTGAGCTATCGCGCGGCAAGATACATGGCGCGTGATAAAGTAGTAAGAGAGCGGAAAAGAGAGAGGGCAGTAGTAGGATTAATGAGGAGAGGGAGAGTTTATGATCTCACGCTTAAAATTCGTCATACCGGTTATATGACTGCAAAGGGCTGCAGAATCACCTTTTCAATTCGGTACGTAACTTAATCACATGCTCAAATACTTTTTTTGTCTAGATGAATTTATTATTTCTGTTCGTTTTATCCAGAAGTAGGCGTGTGATTTAGCTTAGCATTAGCAAGCGCGTTCATTTTGGAAATATATTTATGCACATACACACTATTTAATACTAATAGAACAATGGTAATTCTCTCAGTTAAATAACATTTGGTTATTTTTAACTTCCGTGTGTGTTAAAATGTAAATCAAATTGCTATGGTTAAATTGCTAGTTTCAAAGTAAACAATATCTCCATATTAACGTTTGCACTTAGTAAATAATAATCTAAATTGGAATTAAATTTAATACATTTCTTGAATTGAATTATTTAACTCCATTATTTTAGTCAAATAAATTAACGACACATTGAGAAGCAGTGTCGACCTATAAAAATGATTAATAATAACTCAAATTGAGTATAATTTGACATTATGAATTTAGTGCACGGAAGTCCAAGGTGTTCAGTTATTAATAAATTGAGAGATATAAGAATGAAAAAGTACGGCAAAATGACTGATGTACAGCCCTCTCTCGAGTTAATATAGAAACTATTTTTGCGTGACAAATAAAAGCAATAATGACAACTTTATACTCCTCAGTTTTAACAAATGTATACAAAAACAAGAAAAGTACAGTAGGATATAAGAATAATCGCGGTACTTATTGTGTAAAAATATTATTCAGAAGATATTCGTACGAGATTCGGCTTGCTTTTGTCATTCTCAATAGAACAAAAATATATACATATTATATCTACATAATCACATACTTTTATGAATGAGTGGCAACCATGGATCGAGCAAATTATGAGCTTAATCATAAAGATTTATCTGGTTCATCACAATTGATCGGCCAGAAGGATCAAAAACTTTTACAATAAAATGTTATAATAAAAATTAACTGTATAATAACCAATAAAAAACTTTGATAGAAATAAAAACCACCAGAAATGAAAATAATATTAACGTCTATGTCTATTAAATTAAATTAAGGCTGTGTTAATGATATTGATGAATTTAAATAAAATAATAATATCTAAAAATTCTTGCCAGCAAAATTTGTGAAAGTCATTTCAATATTTTTTTGCAAACATTTTATAAAAAGATAAGAAATATCAAACGTTATTTAATCAATAAATTGAATAATTTTCAGTCAACCCCTTGGAAGTGAAAATAATTGACGGAAACCGGCCACTGTCGGCGGGCAAGAAATACGATCTGGTATGCACAACTTCCGGTTCCAGACCACCAGCTAGCGTTACCTGGCGGAGGAACGGTCAACGCTTAGTGGATTCCAAGGAGACCGTAAGTGTGTTCCTTTATAGAATAATTTTCGTTCTTACAGTCAACGTACATTCCATCCAGCCATTTTCGGTAGTGCATAAACTTGAGTTTGTAGTCTTGAGTAAGAGAGAATCCTTGATTCCTTTATCAAGAATATCACCTTAATTCATGTGAATATTTAACTCTTTTAAACAAATGGAAGATCATGATATTTCTTTAATGCAAATCGATCTTAATGGAAGATCATGTTAAAAAATACATTATAAATCTATTTGATCATTTTTTATAATTTACAATATATTATTTTTCTAGTTATGATGTTTTAAATATAAACGTAAACAAATATAATAACCAAGATGAACTATCGACATAAATTGTTAAGTTATTTTATTGTTTATGTTCTGTAATACATTAAAAACGCATCTGTCACTGCGAGAAAGTTTTGTCCTACACGTGTCTAAACTTTCGAAATTTTTCTTACATATTTACCGTGTTTTCGCCAAACTGTAGAAGATATCACAAGAGTTCTAGAGAGATATCTTTTTCTTCTATTTTTATTTAATTTATATTTAACTTAAGAAAAGAAACTTATCTATGTGATGTATAAATCGGAAAATATGAGAGGGACGTGTAATTATACCTTTTTTAATTAAAATTGATACATTTTTGATTGTATGTTATTGACGATAATTCAGTTTAATCTTCTCAGTGACGAAAGACGATTAATCTCTCACTACCTCGACTCGTCTGGTTGACGTGTGTCTCCTAATTTCGCGGCAAAGCAATTTCCACGTTCAATTTACACGTGGATTAAACGACACCAAAAAAGACATAGGCTGATTACGTGATTGACTGCCATTTATAGTGAAGCCTACCGTGCAGAGATTATGTTTAATTGACGGGAAATGAAACTATCCTACAGCTATAAGTCGAGATATATTGTTAATTTAAGCATAATTGAGATAAAAGAGAGTACGAGGCAATAATTTAATGAGAATAAACGTTAAGAATATTGAAATATAATTAAATTACACACAACAAATATAAGTAAATTGCTTATATAAACTATATTTATTTTAGTTAAGAGTATTCTTAATGTATTATCCACTTTTAATTGCAAACAAACTATCTGTTCTCAACTGATTCTTCTTGTTCATTAATCTCATACTTTTTGTTTCATTTTATTTATCGATTTTTCTTTTAGTGAAAACTTCTCGGAAAATTTTTTAATTAGATTAATTCCTTAATTAAAAAATTACTTTTCAGACGTGAAATTAGAATAGATAATCGATAACTAGAATCTACAGTTTTTCTCTTTCTCTTTTTCTAGAAAGAGAAAAATATTAGGACAATATGTTGGCAATGTTATGAAACAATTGTTTATTGAACAGTTTGAACGTTTTGTTCACAAAATATGAAATTCCCTCCGTATAAATCTTGCATCGATTTATCATGGAATTGAAAATAAAATGAAAAAAGCTAGAAACTGTTGTATAACAGTGTTACGCAATCGAGTCGTACGCTGTGTTCTGATAAAAAAGTGTAACATTTCGTCGTTACGGGATTAATCAACGGCAATGAAGAGGTACGTCGCAAATATCGATAAATCTAATTACGCGCAGCTCGAATAAAGAATATCTCACTGGGGCGATTACGATGATACTTGATCTATGAGAATGAAATCCTCTCGTGCGCGTGCATTTCCCCTGCCTCCCCCCTCTCTCTCTCTCTCTCTCTCTCTCTCTTTCTCTCCCTCCCTCTTCCGTTCCGATACAATTCATTAATTCATTCAATTTCATTCCGAGCGCGCGGCGAAATAAATTTCGATTTAACGTAAATCGAACGCTCTAACCGGGGCACGGCGTTACTGTCGCGAGAAACGGATGAAGGTATTTCGTATACAAAGCAAACAAACGTCAATGGAAACGCGGATTAGCGAACGAAATGAAAGAACGTACTTTCGAATAAATTGACCCGTTGTCGGGCGAAATCGAGCATCGGTCTCTGTTTATTCTACTTCGATTTCTCTGCGCCAACCCCCGGCAAAACACATGGTGCGCACAGGGTACACGGATGAGAGGTGATGCACGTAGGAACGGTGCGCAAACAACGCGACGCGCGTCGTATCCGCCGCGCGTTTTGATCCGCACTTAAGACGACGACGTAAATATTTGTCGGGTAGCGGCGGATTAAGGACGAGGGCGAAGGGAGCGAAGGGCCCCGTACTGTATACGGGACAGAGAAAATATTGTTTCAAAGTCGATACCCGCGCTAGACGACGCGACAGTGAAGATTGTTTCGCTGCTTACGTAAGAAAGTTAAACACAGAAGCGGCGGGGGTTGAAGGGATAGAAAATACGACGAGAGAACCGGTATAATCCACGATGGAATGTCTCGACCGAAGAGGCCTGTTCTTCTTCTTGCTTCTCCCGCTTCTTACTAATCACACAGCGTTTTCTCAGCGAGTTTCTCGCTTCATCTCTCGCAGCTCTTCCCGCGATTACGCAACCGCGCGTAAAAATAGTTACCGTGGTGTATATACAGGGTGTCTCACAACTACCGAACTTTCTCTTAAGGATATATTCTTGAGGTAATTTTGAGACAAAAATTCTAATACGAAAATGTCTACATAATTTTTTGAATTATAAGCTAACTTTAAATGCTTGTAAGTAAAAAACTATTTTACTTTTAGAGCCTCTATTATTATTTCTGGATTCTTTTGAATATTTTAAGACGGAAATCCTAATACGAAAATATCGAGGCTATAATAGTTTTCGAATTACACACTATCTTTAACCATTCTTTATAATTCAAAAATTATTGTAGCTTCGATATTTTTGTATTAGGATTTTCGTCTCAAAATTATCTCAAGAATACGTCCTTAAGAGGAAATTCGATAGTTGTGAAACACCCTATATATATATATAAATACAACATTCCGTAAACGAGGGTTTCGCGTCGCGAGTATTTTTCCACCGTATCGTATCATGGAATTGCAGCAATTATGTTAATCGATTCGACCTCGCTGGAATGCGCAGTCGGAAATATATTTTTAATGAATGGCGCATCTCATTTCGTAATTATCTTTGCGCGGGCCACCGCGTGAAACGGCGCGGCGCGCGAAGCTCTCCGCCGCCATCGGAACGAAATTAGAGCGCGAGTCCGCTACCGTTGATTTATTCCCTCGGCAAGACGTGAAATTTATTATTCGAGCGCACTCTCTGCCCCGCGATTATTTTTTAATCGCGCGACAGAATCGCGGGGAAGGGGGAGAAGGGGAGAGAGGAATCCTCGCATCCGTCGCGCTCTCACGCGAGATTGAAGCCTCGACTGTCCACTTTTTCCGACACACCGCGGGAAAGTTGAAAAAGCGCTCGGAATATTTTGAGATTTTATGAAAAATTTTGCGTTATATTTCGTTCAGGAATATGAGTAATGCGGGCGATGCGTTTTTCTCTGTCTACCCTCCACTATTCCTGTTTTATGCGTGGAGCGTAATCCCTAAACTCAGTTCATTGGACGGAGCGAGTGTTTGCACTAGCATGGATGTTTAATTCACGAAACGTAAAGCAGAGTTATTACGGGTGCTTCATAATCCACGAACTTGATTTTTCGTAAGCTACGGAACTTTTAAATAGCGTAAAATTATGAATTATGCTTAATTTTGATATGGGAATAACGAGATGTTAATTAAAATATGAAATATTAGAGATGCAGAAGCGAAACTTGAATTTTACATGATTTGTAACAAAGTTAAAAAAAAATCCTCACATGCCATCAGTCTGAATTAACTACCTGGATTTTATTTTATATCATAATATTAAATTGACGAGACGCAAATATAAATTTTGTTACACAATTTTATCCAGGGGGATAATAGCGTTTAACAAAGTAGTTTTCATTTTAGCGAAAAATCGAAAAAGGTAAAAACAAGAAAAAAAAACATTTCACGTTTTTTTTTCCTTCGACACCTCGGAGCTATTCGACAAGTATTTGCTCGGATAACAAAGGGAAAACAATTCTCATACGAATGTTTTCGAGGTCGTACACTGATCGATTGTTATAAAATTGGTTCACACGTTCACCCACGCGCTTTATTCGGTTTGTTTTGTGATCAAAATCGATAGTAAAAAAAAAGTTCGCTTTCCGTTGTTAATACGTGTTATTTACTCGTCACTGCTATCAAACGGGCCATTATTTACGAAACGTTAACTGGCGAATAATTCATTTACGAAAAAAAAAAGGCGGTTTTATCATGTTTTTATCTATTCTTATACGTACGTTTGCAAACTCCTACGATTGTACGGATAGAGGGAGATAAATTTGGGCGATCGTATATATAGACGCAACGAGACGGAATGGTTAACCGGCCACTCGACGTATTGGACGTTCATTAAGGCATCGATTCTCCTTAATTACAAGCGCAAATTCGCGAACTTCGCGCGACTCTGATTTAAATTATTTCACGCTTAATGACGCTTTTACTACAGGTTCGTACTCGCGATAACGATAATTCTCCTGCCACCCTTGCAATGAGACACACTTGTGCACGGCCATACAGAGGTACACGTGCGCAAGAGAGAACCTTATTTTATGGTCACTTTAAGGAGCTGTACGAGCCGTGGTCGAGCTTGCAAATTACATTGAGTGCGCGTCTCGACGGTGTAAATCGAATCGGAAGTCCTTGGGCGCGTGGTTTTCCACGGAGATGCATGTCTGATTATTCAGAGGCGTTTACTACTTGAACAAGTTTCCAAGTTAAATGAATCGATATTCGCGGTTTTAAATCGAACGTTATAATCTCAACTATCATAAATATTTCTTACCATTAATTTTTTCTACAATTTTTTGTCCCATGTTTAAAATAATCCAAGAATAAAATTAAGTATTGGATTGATGGAAAAGTTCTGCGGTATTTTGTTAGCTCAAAATTATATATAGAATATCTTCATTAAAAATAATCAAAATGTAAATTTTAAAAGAGGGTTTTAAAGCTTGAAATCTCTACTTTCGAATGGTTATTATATTTCTTGAATTTATGTGAATTTTGTAATTTTTATATATAGAAAACTATAAATTTCAAAAAAGGGAAATTTTTCTTCTCACTTTGTGAGTCTGTCACGTACCAAAAACAATTTGTAAAAATTTTCCACTATCTATATCGTGAAAGTTTGGAGTTTTTTTTTACAAAATCGTTTTTTAAAAATGTTTCTACGATTTTTTATTCTTGAGTTAATTCGCTAGTTAAGTAAAAAGGAGCATTCTGAATTTGATTGCTCATAACTCCATTAAAAATCATCTTACTGCAATTAAAAAAACAGATTCTTAAAGCTGAAACGTTACTCTATCGAATAGTATCATGCTAATTTTTTAAATGTAAAATATATAGAAATTTGAAATTAAAAATTTGTGTGATATTACTATCTTTATAATCATTGCGCAATGGAAAAAAGAACAATAATATCACATTTTTAGCTCAACTGTACATATATTTTATTTTTTTTTAAATTGACAATTACACCATTAGAGCAACGTTTCAATTTTAAGAATCTGTTTTATTAATTACGGTACGATGATTTTTAACGGAGTTATGAGCAATTAAAATCAAAATGCTCTTTTGTTTAATCCGCGTGTAACTTGGTAACAAAAAGTCATAGGAACATTTTTTAAAAACAAACTTTTAGGAAAAACTTTAAGCTTTCGCGTCAGAAAATTTCGCAACAAATATATTCTGTATATAATAATGTAAAAATAAATATATTCTGTATTTGAGCTAACAAAATTCCGCAGAACTTTTTCTCCAATTAAATATGAAATAAAGTCTGAATATAAAATGTTAGATTTTATATGCGTTTTTGATACAGAATCTTATATTCAAAGAACAGCCTTTTTTACTGTGAAAAACGATATATGACATGCTTCACTAACAGTAAATAAAATAACTCTCTCTGTATGTTCCTACTAAGCTTTGCGATTTTTTTCTAATTTTTTGATGAGTCTAGAAATGAAAATTAGTAGTCACATTCAAAAGGAACATTTCTGAATGTTAATAAAAAATATGAGATGTATTCAAATATTCATATAGGTAGAATAGATTTAAAAAGAAGTAGCATTATGTGCATATATTGGATACATATGTACTCAATATGATCTAAGTATATATACCTTTTTTTGTAAAAAAAGATATTACAAAAATAGAAAATAAAATAATCCATTGTTACTTTTATAATATTATAATTTTTTATTATTTATAATATTATAAGTTTATTGACATAGAAGAATACACAAAAAACTATTTTCCAAGCAATACTCATTTACTTATCTGCTTATCTACTCACGATATTTAACAAGTGAATTAAAATCCATAATCTGAAATAATAACAAGAGTACAAAAAAACATTACAATCGTGTACTATCAGTATGCCTACACACAGGTTGACCACATTAGTTCCACAAGAAGTTTCTTCTCTTTGATTATAAACAAAACATGATAAAAATATAAACTAAATATATAATATTGTAAAGTATGAACATAGAGCTATGATAACATCAACTACTGAAATCAATAACAATCTTCTGATAGTTTAGGAAGCAATTATTTATCTATGAAATATTACATCGCTATTATATCACAGCAATCTGCATTTTGCTTTACTGACGATAACAGAATGAACAAATTGAGCAATATAAACTGATACAATCGAGTGAAGCGAACAATCTGCACCACCTATTACTGCTATCTGTTGAATTGATCGTATAATACGAACAAATAGGTATTTTGATACCTATATTAATTCCAGTTACCTTAATTAATTATTAGATAGAAGATTGAGAAATTCATTTTAAAAAATTAGAATTTGTTTATGAAGAATAGCTACAAATGCGCGTCTTTAAAAAAAATTGTTCTTTAATTTTAAAAAACTGATAGATGAAGTAATACATTAAAAATTATATTATCTATATGCGCATACATTATCTATATGCATATCATCCATACTACTTTAGAAGATTCATCATGCATAAAATAAAGTTTTTTCGTACTAACATATGCGTTTTTGATACATTAGATGAAAAAGACAGTTAAGATATGGTATAAACAACAGAAAAATGAGAAAGATATTTATTTATTACTTGCGTACTTCCTTACATAAGTTGCGAAAATTTATCTGACACATATACATTGAATAATTCAATGAAACTCTGACGTAATGACAGTTTTGCTCTAAAATAAGATAGAAGTTACTTCTTTATTTAAAAAAGTAGACCTATCCCTCGAGAAAGGTAACGAGAAATTGATTGAGAATATCGACCATGATTAGCTCTGACCCTCCAGGTCAGATGACAGATATGCTTTTAATATATAGGGGTTGAACGGTTGCTTTCACCGCCATTGATGACAGAGCGAGTAAGCAAACGACCGTGTCGATGAAGAAAAAGAGAATAAATGCGACGAGTGTCGGCAGGGTGGACGGGCGGAAACTGGGGACTCCGATGAACGTTATCATAATGTTGTTACAGACCTCCGTCGATGGGAACACGACCACCAGCGTTTTATCTTTCATGGCGACGAAAGCAGACGCAGGCAGACACTTGTCGTGTCAAGCTGAAAATCGAATCATGGGAACTGCGCCGATAGAGGACGGCTGGGTACTCCAGATACAATGTAAGCTCATAAACGACGACAGACGCTCTTTCCTTATTTATTCAGACGCCGGGGATTCCGGTCGATTTTGACGATTTATTGAAGGTCGTGATTCGCAGATACGCCAGAGACGCAGATCCAGCTCGGCACGTCGCTGAATCCTAACACCATACGCGAAGGCACGGATGTCTACTTCGACTGTCTCATACAGGCCGAGCCGTCGGTGTACAAGGTGGAATGGCGACATCAGGTGAGCGAAAACACAATTTTATAGTGAATTTTGTTGGACGTACTAGTACATGTTAAAGCCGATGTGCACTGATTTAATCTGGATGTAAAAGTGAAATGCAGTATTTGAATTATAAAAATATATATTTTACCAACAACACAATAAAATTTATTGAGTATTTCATGATTTAATCTATTTCTATATTTATATCGAACACACATCTTTACCGCAATTTGTATACAATGGCCTTTATTTGCATCAATCACACTGAGTGCGTCCAATCAAATTTGCTATTACTCAAGCGGAAGCTATAAATGTTGTTTTGGCTTCCGAGTACTTGATACTTTGGAGTATCTCCTTACTTTGAAAGACAAACATCGGCAATGCAAATAAATGCACGTAAAAGTGGACAAGATAATCAATGGAGAGATTTAGTATAATAGTTGATGTATACAGATACTCAATAATGTATCAAATTATTACGAAGCTTAATTATTTCAAAATGAAATATGAGATAGAAAACATTTTTAGAAAATCACCGACTGTTGTTGATAAAAACAAGTTGATTTAAACATTTTTCAAGAAATCAATTTAGCTGAGAAATCGGAGACGCAAAACTTGAAATTACAATAATTTATTCAGCGAGATTTATTTAAAAGTTTTATCTTTAATGAATCAACTTTACGTTAACCAATTAGCGTATGTACAGCATCCATGTGCGAAGTAGAATTTATCATAATTATACCGAGATTTCACGGTACATAGAAAAACATTTCCCAGAGAAGAATTTCTGGAAAAAAATCAGAATATATTCGTGAATCATTTTCCGGAGATGTAATCTCCGCAAATACTCTCTCATTTCACCTCGCTGCGAATTATCATTAATCTATTTCGAAGATGCGTAACAATGTTCGTCGCTAGTAATTCGTCCGTATCTCTCGCTCTCAGAAAGTTCTAAAACCCGAGTGTCGTAAACAGATCGGTCTCTCGCCAACTAACAAGCTCGATTATGCCTGTATTCGCATCGACTTATGTTAAGACCGAATATAAACTTCGACGCTCGAAGTATCAAACTTTTATAATAACTTTCCGCCACCTCTGTCACGATGATCACTCTTATCTTCTTTTCGTCTCTGACAAATGAGAGGTTGTTGGTTTATTCACGTTCGTGTGTGTACCATATACACGCACAGAAAGTAATTCTCACTCCGAAACGTAGCCCGCTTAATGTAACGGCGAGTGACGTGTCAATGTTGGTCGTGTTTCTTTCAGGGCAAGGCACTCCATCACAACATCACGCAGGGCATCATAATCAGCAACCAGAGTTTAGTGCTGCAGGGAGTTGATCGTAAAAGCGCTGGCAATTACACGTGCGTGGGATACAATACTGAGGGTGACGGCGAAAGCTCGCCTTTTTATCTAAACGTGATGTGTACGTATTCTTACATATATAATATAGTAGAAAATTGAATAGGACAAACACCGCGGAGAATTTATTTATCGGAATGTATAAATTAAATTAGGAATTGTTTTAAAGCCTGATTATTTAGTACGAAATAATAAACAGAAGCATAAAAGCTAAATTGAATTTAAGGGCTAAATAATGTTTATATGATGTCAGTAATACAAATGACAGATATCTATCACTTTACAGCTGTGTGTTTACAACTTTGTATTTAATCTTTATATCTTTTTATATATAATTATTTATTATTTAGTATTTTTTCTAACCAACTTTACCGTAATGTTTTTGCAGTTAATACAAAATAAAAAACATTAATCAAAAGTATTTCAGTATACAGAGTGATTCATTTTAATCTTAATAGACAAATATTTCGAAAATATTTGCTCAAAAAACATGCCAAACAAATATAATGAAACATATAGACATTAATACTTTATCGATTTTAATCTATTATTCGGATTATTACAATCCTAAGTACATGACTAAATCCTCTTGATGTAGCTAAGTAATAATTCGAGTTATTTATCATATTTCAACGTACGCTGAAATATGGTTGTTAATGCTTATCGATTTTATTCGGATTATTACAGTACTAAATACTGAGTCTTCTCGATGCAGCTACATTCATAATTCGGATTATTTATCGCACTAAGAATGCGAATAATAACGAAACGAAGATTCTCAACGGGAATGTGTTCGATCGACTTCAATTAATAATGAATTATAATGAGTAAAGATTCGGTACTCGCGTAAATTTCCGCTGTGAAATTTTAATTCCTGGCTTATATACGTACATCTATATGTCCCTCGCGAATTGCGTGTACAATATTATCAGGATATCCAGCTGTTTATTCGTTTGCGTGCAGATTATCGGATGCGATATCGAAATATTTTGCAATAGTTTTGTTAATCAATATTTGAATTTATTTGAAAGCTTCGTCAGATAGGTATACGAAACGCAAAGCGTATTATTGTGAAGCTCGCACATATTTAATATAGAAATTCGCAGTTAAAAATTACAATAAGCGCATTATTAATACTTTATTCAGCAAGCTGTAAAAGAAGATAATAAAAGGATAAAGCTGATTTGGAGAATGTCTAATTTGATTAATAATAAAATTACTTAATACTGAAAATTAAACTGTCTGACCAATTATTTAAAAAAATAATATTGAAGTGGATTTTGAGGTAGATTTTAAAGTAAAATTCTGATTTTACTTTAGCTCTGTTATTATTATTGCGAAATTATTTAACATTGGAATTAAAATATGCAAATTAAACTTTATTCATTTAAATAGATGACAGTAACTTCTCACGTCTAAAAAATTATAAGAAATACTTTAAAAATATAATTTGTGTCTGAATTTTTAAGATAGTAAAAATTTAAAAATTTTGAAATAATATTTTTAATATGAAAATGTTAAGCCAGATTTCTTAACAAATCTTTCTAATAATGGAAACTAAGATAACAATAATATCTCGATAATTGTGCATCCTATTTATAATCGAATAATAATTTTCCTTATTAGATCTTCACAAGAAACTTAAAATAGATCACGAAATATCGGTAAATCATTCCCAGCAACTTTAAGTAATAGTATAAGAAATTCACGAGCCTTACAAGACGAAGTATATCCTTCGTATTCTTTGCGCCCCAATTATTTCTCGGTGACGTTCGATGTTTGTTCCCGCAGTCGCCCCTACGTGCAAGCCAAACCAGACGAAGGTCCACGGTGTAGCGAAACAGGAGAAGGCGAATATATCCTGCCAAGTGGATGCAAATCCGCCGGAAGTGCAATTCAAGTGGACCTTTAATAACTCCGCCGAGAGTATCGACGTTGCGGCCGGCCATATCGCGCGAGCTGGCACATCCTCCATCGTCTCATACACACCAATGACGGAATTAGATTACGGCACGTTACTCTGCTGGGCCAGCAATCACATCGGGCAACAACAAGTGCCCTGTGTATATCACATTATACCGGCGGGTAAGGGATCTCTGCATTCATATCATATTTCGCGAAAACGCGAAGTGACGTATCTGCTGATACGCAGAGTGAATTTTCGATTTAGACCAGAAGATTGATCGCCACGGCGAGTTTACGTGATGTGGCGTAACAAAATTATGCAAACTACAAACAATTTTTTTTATTAAAAAAAATCGATAGGTAATATTTCTCGTACCAATTCAATTTAATCCTTCTTTAATTTATGATTGTCCCCTTGACGAGAGCGAAAATATATAAAGCGAGAATAAAAATGGAAAGAAATCCCTTTTTCAGAAAGAAGAATATGATAGAAATCAGTGAATGATAATTTTAAAATCTTTTCTCCATATTTTGCATATTAAAAATTTAATACTTGTACAAAATGAGTTTCTATTCTACGCTTAATTAGCCTACAATTTCATAAATTAGTGAAACTAACAATAAAGTTAATAGTTTTAATCCTTTGGGATTTAAACCTTTCGGGAATTGTAACTGTTATGTTAATTTAGAATTTGGATTTTATTCATGGTTTCTAAAGTCTCACATTTGCGTAATTGAATAACTAATTCGAATCTTAGTATAAAATTGGATGCAATTTTTGTGTGTATAAGTTGTTTTAATAAAATCATCCAATTATGAGAAACTTCGTTCGGCTTCGAGTTATAATTAGTTCCAATTAGTATTGTTATAATAGCGACGTAAATCAGATAACGTGATAATGAAGTCGCGAATTATCTCTGAATATCAAAAGTATTTGAAATGTAGATAAAACTTAAGAAATGTTATTACATTGTATATTTCTCTCTCTTTCTCCCTTCCTCCCCCTCTCTCTGTCTCTCTCTCTCTCTCTCTCTCTCTGCATTTACAGCGTGATAGCGCAAAAGATATCTGTTTCTTTCAATTATCAAACAAATCATTACAATAAATGAACTTGATACTGTTGCTTTTTATATTCAATTCGACTTAAAAAAATCTAATGTAAGCCCAATGGATCCATCCAATGCAACGTGTATCTCCGTTATTCTCATATCAGTGTATTCCCCGGGTATTCTCATCCGCCGCGTATCGATGCTCGAGTTACCAATTAATTGCGATTCACGGATCCTACTATCGAATTGCGTTACAAAGAAAACGCGTGTACGCGTATACAAGAATAAGCGTATTCCGGACATAGAGAAAAACAGCTCTCGCACCATGCAAAAAAAAAAACCAATCCAATGGGTGGGCGAGTAAAACAGGGACACTGCGAGAGACGGTAGCAGGTGTCTGATGCGCGCTATGATTTTTCAGGAACCATAAACGTGAAAACAACTCGGGCATATTCCCGCTTATTTCCTTTTCTTTATTCCCCTTTCTTTTTCTTGTCCCTTCACGACGCAGTATGCCGTTATCGTTTCGTTCGCGCCCTTTTAACCGGCTTTTACGAGCCGCGAAGTGTACCGTCGGCTAATGCCTTTACGGAAAAAAAAAGCCAGACAACCGTATATCTTTACAGCCGACTCGGTTACAAGTGGCTTGTATGCACCAGCGCACCATGCGCCGGATTTACAGGGCAACTATCACGCCCTGATTCGCGAATCTACCGCACGCGAAACGATACGTTACATAACGCCTACCCCCTTTTGCGCCGTCTGTATGAAACTATACATCATTTCGACGCGAGAAAAGAACGCATTGAAAGTTGGAGTAAACTGCAGAAACTGCTGACGCTGAAGAGTTACCGCTGTACTTATGTAATTAGTTTCGCTTAAAATTCAGCGCACTTTAATATAGCGCAAAAAGTAGAAATAAACAAACTTCGGGAAACAGCAGGGAAGTTATTACGCAATTTTTTTTACGTACTTTGTTTTTTATTCATATTTTTCATTTGTAATTTTTCGATTCCGAATGTATCTATATATGGGGTTTTAGAGCTGCACGATTCGAGAGAGAGAAAAAAAGTTATCCCATTTTTCTAAACTATAAAAAATGTAGCTTTCATATTGAACATTAACTATTTTTAATAAAAGGCGACAAGCCAATTTTTTGCGAAATATATATAAAATTGAAAGGTGAATAGGAAAAATTGTCTTACATTTTTTATTTAATCTAAACGCAAAATTGTTAACAATCGAAAAAGGTTTTTCCTGTTGTTGGCATACAAAATGAAAATATTTCAATATTACATCGTTAATTCATTTATTTCTACAATTCGCTTGGCCAATGCCGAATGGAGACAAGCAAATATAATATTTTAATCTAAACCTGTCAAAGCTTCGAACAATATTGTTTTAACAGTTATTTAAAACATTGAAAGAGATTCCGATAGTTATTTAAAAAAAAAAATCGATATATAAAGGGGGGGGTATCATCAATATTTTAAATTTTTATCGCTACGTATAATTCGATTTCGTACCTTTTTAACATCAACGATCGTTTTTTTCATCATTCTATTTTCTCTCTTATTATCCGTCTTATCTAATAATTCCGACGCGCAAAATTTCATCGATCAAAAGGGCGCACTTGGAAAGAATCTGAAAGAAAAAATTACCCCGCGATATTATCGTGGCTTTGTGGCTATTACGAGCTGTTACGAGCGCGTGAATAGTCTGTCGTGCACGCAGTGCATTTTAAAACGCAGGCGAACCTTATCCGTGACAGGCCGACCAGACATGGTTCACAATTGCACGACCTCGAACACGTCGACCAACTCGTTTTCCGTGCGGTGCACGGAAGGGTTCAACGGCGGCTTGCCGCAATCCTTTCTGCTGGAGGTGCGCGAGAGCAACAGCCAGGAGTTGCGTGCCAATCTGACGTCGCCGGTGCCGCGCTTCAGCGTCACTCACTTGGAGTCCGGCGCCCTTTATCAGGCCTGCATTTACGCCTACAACGACAAGGGTCGTAGTGAGGCAATGGTGGTGCAGGCCGGCACTTTAAGGCTACCGGAAAAACAACTGACGTCCGAGTCAGGTGAGAATATTCCCTTATTTTTTTTCTGGAAACCGAGACCAGCGATCACGCTATTTTCACGCTGATATTATTCTCCCGCTAAGAATTGAATTACTTGACGAAATATTTGACGAGAAATATGCGCATACAAATGTATTATGATTGAAAGGTATGTTCCGATACATGTAGCCTTGTATATTAAAGTAAATTGATACTCGTTCAATATTTCAAAAATTCCTGTGTAATGTATTATACTGTGAACGTTAACAACTTCAAAGTTTTCGATATCTTTTGAACAAGCTCCGATACTCGATTTGCTTGGAAGTTGCGAGAAAGTATTGACTCAAGAACCTTCACATCATATGTACATATGGTTTTCAAATCTTTTTGCTTGCGACACAAAATTTTCTTTATCGTGAAAAGTCACATGACTATATCGTATTTTTGAAAAAAATAATTCGAAACAAAGTCCACATTTCTGCAAATACAATTATAAAACTCAATTGATTTTATAATTACAATTAATCGACGAGAGATATCGTTCTATATACTGAGATAATATTATATACTGAGAAAAAAAATGTTTGACATTTGTGACTATATATACTTGCATAGTAAAATAATTATAGTTAGAAGCTCTATTTTTATGATTACTACTGCTACAATGTTAGTAATAATAGCCTTAGTTCTCTTAAACATGCAAAACTACTATAAATTAGATAATTTTAATAAAAATTTCAATAAATATTAATATAATAAAATATTAAAGTATAAATGTGGTAATTAAAATAAACATTTTTATTTAGTAACTACAATCGCAATTATAGTGAATATAATTATTTTCTTAAATTCACTTACTATCTGTATGTTATAGAAATAATAATAAAAATTCTCAACTTTTATGCGTTATAGCGTGTTTCTCTTTTTATGGCGCGGTATTCATGCGCGTTCGATGTTATACGCCATATATTAATCCCAAAAGGCTACATGAGATTTAGATAATTACGGTAAAATTCACGTCGATGAGGCAGTGCGAGCGAAAAGCCGCTGCCAATTGGCCGAATTGATGAAAAGCTATCGACTCAATATTAATTCGTCGGGCGAGCCGCGTAAAAAGCTCCCGGCGCTTTTATGACCCGACGCGAAAAATCGGGTCAGGAATTGGCGATTTAATACTACCGGACGGACAATTTTCTCGTTGTTTGCCTGATGCGATTGTTATCGTAATTTTTAATTCGTCCACCACCGGTATCCGGGATCGTATCGCTTTATGTATATCTCTATTAAAATAAAATGCGGCTGTATTTAGGGCATTACTCGTTGAATTTCAGGATTTGCAAACAAGTCAAGCGTGATACCTATGCCGCATACTTTTTGTGTTTTTATGAAAGCCATATCTGTTGCGTTATTAACATTTTATGTAGCATGTTATTGTATCGTGTAATGCGTTAAAAATCTGAACGCCACGTTCAAATTTTAAAAAGAGTTTAACATTTAGTACATACGATTGTCATTCGTGTTCTGTATATTTCTTTTCTTCGAAAAACTAGTATCAATAATTAGTTATAACATTTGTATACAATTTTTTTTAAATACACAATCTTACAAATATTTTCTAAAGGTGTTAAAGTATATGTAAGAATTATTTAATAATTTTTGTATTTGTTAAAATAATGAAAATTAACAGACACGAATAATTCACTGTAAAAAGATTGGAAAATCATCGTATGTATTAAGGATTAAAGAGAATGTCATTTGAAGTGTATGTAACTGAAAGCTATTTAAAATAATTACATGATAATATATCGATTTGTGTTCGATATCGATCACTTTTCATTTTCAATTTTTCAATGGACATTGCAGAACGACCGAGGCAGCATGACAACTTGACACCGATGTTGAGCGTGACGATCGGCGTTGTGATGGCTCTCATTATCGTCGCGGTTATAGTGATGGTCGTCTTACGGATTCAACACACGCACGTAGAAGAGCAGAACAAGTCGCAGATGGAGGATCACGCGAAGCAGACGAAAGCCGTTCCCATACAGAGGGAACTACGATTCCGAGAGGGATGCAGTTTGCTTGCGGACGAGAAGCATCCCAGCAGTCCGTTTCGAAAGTTGGAAACCAGCGGTGATCTCAGTGAAAGCGACGAGAAAAATCCTGACATTATTCCACAGCAAATTACTGGTTCGTATCTTCGCAATTTCTGTATTTCTGTAATTCTAAAATTGGTAAAACTATAAAAAATGTGCTAAAAATCATATTACATCAAAAAATTTAAAAAAAATTATCAAAACTCGAAAATACATATCTTTGTTTTTTAAGTATAATTTTTCTTAAAAAAACA